CCGAGAACAAGACATCGCAAACTGTGGACTGATTCTAAATCTATACCATTGTCTCAGTGTCCACCCGTCAGCATCATCCATCTCCTCCTCTCCCGTCGAAGCCAAGTCCCCACCCACACGTTCATCTCACCTACTCAAACACACCACATACCAAAGTCCCATCCGAAATGTCAGATACAATCATCCACTTCCTGATCTACCTCGTCTTCGCCCTAGCCACACTTTCCAGAACCGTCAGACAAGCCATCTCCAACGGCCACACTTACCAACAGACTATGCAGAACCTCAGAATAGACTTACCCTATGTCGTGGCATGTGCCCCAGCGTTTGTTCTGTGCTACGTCATCACCATTGCTGTGAAGAGAGCAGTGGGTGAAGAGAATATGGGACTGAGCATGATGCGTTGGTTGTAAGATGAGGGGTGGGAGGTGGTGGCATGTCGGATGCTATAGAGGACCGTGAGATGTAGGATGTTTTTGGAGGACGATATCGGCGAGACGACTGGAGAATGAGACTTTGCAAAGTCATGCGGCGGTTTACGCATGCAAAGGTCGAGTGTATAGCGAATTTGAGACGAACTGCTACATTTTTGGGGTTCTGCTGTGCCTTGCCGTCTCCGTGTGATACACTGGTTCGTGATGGGAGTAGTGCGTCACTCGACTGTATGCGCTGGATGAATTATGCCATGCAACAGTGAACTCTGATATTTCTCTTCGTTCTACATCCCAACGGGGAGGAAGTTCTAGTCATGCGAGAATACCTGCGGAATGTCAGAGTGACTTCTAAGGCTGCTAATCCCTTTGATCTCTTTGGCTTGTTCAGAGTACAGCAAACTCGAACCTATACGTTTAGCTATGTATATCAACAAAAGCATCACAGTAACACCGTTTCGTAGCCTACATCCTAAGCTTTATCATGTCATCGTTCACCATCACAGGACTGATAATTCTTGCAATCTATTCCTCCCGCTTCCTGGTCAATAATATCATCCACACCCCACTACTCATCGTCGTCTATCCGAAATGGGCCAAATTTCTCTCGCTGAGCATATCCGTCCTCGCCGTGACCGCAGCCTACCAAATTCACACAAGCAGCCGAGCTGTGCAATCATGCAGTCATAGGCTTCATACATGCGGACATGATCTCAACGTCACTATTTTAAATAACACTGTTCTAGTGAGCAAGCTAGAGAACAGGCCCATGAAAGGCGTCGCCGCTCTGAGGGCTGAACTGAGCAAATGCGAGATGGAGAAGAGCGGGCTGAGATGGTTTCGTGATGATTGCCGTGCGCATTGCGAGGAGCATGGGCGGGATGTTCTGTGGGATATTGGGATGAAGATAGATGGTGTGTTTGGAGAGATGAAGGAAGTGGCTTTGACGGGTGGGGAGGAGGATGGGAAGGATGGGAAAGGTGAGGTGGTAGAGAAGGATGAGAAGATGTAAATGGCGGATTGGGTGACGGGGAGATGCGGGGATGAGACGATAGGGGCTTAGCGGGCGAGCGGGGAGATTGTGAAGGTGAGGAGATGGATGAAGTATAGAACTTATGCTTGATTAGAGGGGCAGGCAGTTTAAAAATACGAACATAGTTACGATGTTGTTGCGCAATGGAATGATGAACTGGAGAGGCGGCTTAGGGGAGGGCGTCAGGGAGAATTTGTGGCTGCTCTTCGAAGAGCACAAGGATGAGAATGATTGAATAGTAAGGTTGATGGATTGTTTGCCGGAAGATGTGAAGGAAGAGGTTTGGGAGGATAGAAAGCGGAAGGATAACAGGAGTGAAGTGGAATAGGAGAGGAATGTTGGAGAGACGCGATGAGAATGAGGCAAGGCTAAGTGATGTTCCGTGTTGTTCTGCGTGCAAAGTGAAAGAAGGTCCCAGTAACGCGGGAAGTCTTCTGGTATGTCGGAGTGACTAGTCGCGCTCTTTGATCTCTGCGGTCTAGCAAGAGTGTGTAGAAACTCAAACTCGCAAGTGAATCTATATCAATAGAAGAAGAAGGGAAGAAATCTAATCACACAACACACACCAGCTCATCATGTCACGGTGGCTCGAAATAGCGGCGTTAACACTGCGGTTCGAATTAGCCGCGTCTATCATCCTAGTCCTCTTGATTACCATTTTCATCCCCCACCACGTCGAACTCAATCGGCTCCTCCTACTATGGCTCCCCATCATCGCCGCACTTACCGCCTGGGAGCTCTACGCAAACGACCAAGCCCTCCAAGCACACGGCCACGACCTTCAGACATGCAGCCACGACCTCCATACATGCAACCACGTACTCAACGTGACCCGACAGAAGGGGGTAGTACAAGCGCACAAGCACAGCCATCATATGGCTGCTGTGAAAGCTAATCTGCGTGATTGCCTGGAAGAGAGAAATGAGCTAAGACGCAACGAGGAGGAGTGCGACGCGCGTTCTAAGGCGGACGAGGAAAGCGTGCAGTGGATAGATAAGATGGTAAGTGGTATGAAGGGACAGATAAGGGAAGACGTTTGTGCGGTTCGGGAGGAAGGAGAGGAGGGAATGGAAGAGTAGTGGGAGTGGAGGGTGGTGTGTGTGGAGATGGATGTTGGGGTAGTTTGAGGGTGACGCGATGGACGCGGGCATCTCGCCACACAACGTTAGGATTCGGCGGTGGTTTGAAGATGGCGTGTGGAAACATTAGATCATTTGAAGCCTCTCACAAAAGTACGAGAAACGTAGCCTGCCATGTAGAAGAATGGTCACGATGAAGGTGAACGTTGTCATCTTGCACGTGCCCTCGCGTGTTGTTAGCGCGAATGGCGCGTCATAGCGACTTGCATCCCGCGTTGTCTGACCCGAACACTCGCATGAACATCCGCAATGACGGATATCTGGAACGGAGATATTCTGCTACCCGACGGTAACGTCATTAGAGGTACGTATCATCATTCATCGATTATATACAGTCGCTAATGCCCTACAGACGTCGGTCTGGCGTCGCAAAATGTCGCGTCTTCTCCAGCCCTCCCCGCCACGTCTCTGCGCTTCCTCACCACGGTCGATACCGCCAAGATACCGCTATACCTTGCCGCCGGCCCTAGTCTAGATGTATGGACGACAGAGGAAGCCACTCAGGCTTGGTTTGAGGCAGTCCTGCTGAGTAAGCCTACGTTGGCGGACGCGCCCAACACTGCCACGAAGGAATGGTGGGACCTGGCGCGATCACAGTCGCCAATCGGTTTTCTTGTACAAGTCCAAAGGGTTGAGGAAGACGGGCGAAAGCCCAGAGTGACCGAGATCCTCTTCTATGGTACCATCGCTGCTCCTACGACAGCTGGGCTACCCACACCACCATCCTCGTCCCCATACGTCGACAATGCGCACGCCGAGATACTGCCTGAGCTTCGAGTTCACGCATTGCCGCTTTCGTATGATCTCCTACATGCTACCAGCATCGACCTGCCCAGCGACACGGAACCTCAGTTCCTTCCGCCGCAGCACGATTTTCACAACCCCCCAACATCACCCAAACGCACGCGAGACATATTCGAAGAAGCTACCATTGCAAACAAGAAGGCACGAGGAAGGGGTGGAAGAGCAGTCTCGGCAGCAGCGGCCCGCGTGAGCGAGTCTCAGCAGGCATACACCCACCGGAAGTCATCGCTCTCTATCGACCTGAAAGCCTCGTCTTTCTCCGACTCCAGACCAACGTCTGCTTCCGACCATCTAGCCCGCCCTTCCTCGCGCCCACTCTCGCGATCACCGAGCATAACCTCCGATACGCGACCTCTCAGCCGAAAGGGTCAACCCGACGCGCATGCCAGGCGATCAAATCTGTCCCAGGTCGCTACGGTACCCATACAGCCCGAAGAGCCAACGACCGAGTCGCGAAACAAGGACGCACTGGTCAAGGTGGTCATGGCAGCGATGCGCATGCATGGCTTGCAGCAGCGGAAACAGAACAGGTCTCGCCGCGCCTCTGTGGCTGGTGCCGAGGAGAGTCAGCAGCGCAGTGAAGAAGCAGCTGCAGAAGAGGCGGCGAAGGACGACGAGTACAAACTGATATACCACCAAACCTTCAAGGGTGCACAGCTGGCACTGGTAAGACGCGTGAACCTACATCCGAGACGCTCGCTGACAATGTTACAGAGAAAGCACATGTCCGAGAAACCGCTACATGCCACGCCTGACCGAATGCGCGACATCGTTGAAAAGCTCCTCGCCCTCTTTCTCTCCGACCCACTTGCGGAGCCTCCGCCCACTGAGATACCCGCAGACCCAGTTGCCACACCTGGTAGCAGACCGAGATTTGTTATACCTGGGTCCACACATGGCCATGCCAGTCCGTTCGACTTGCCTAGTACACAACGACGGCCTGGCATGATGAGATCTGTTACCGATAGCCATGTCTACACGGGATCGCCTGTGAGCAAAAAAAGGGTTACCACGGGCGAAACGTTAACCGTGCCCACGTGAGGGGTTGGGCCAGCTGCCAATACTGGATACGAAGACGATCTCATTACCGTCGGCTATGATGATGCATCCTCTGGGGACTGAATACAAACCACGGACGCGTCCCTGGGAATCTTCAGTTGATCTATTCTTGCATATTCCCTTTCTTGGCACCTGCCGCCACGCTTGTCACCATCAGTAAGCACTGTGGAACAATCATCAACCCTCCCAAAGCGGCAATTGTTAGAGTAGACGCCGCGACGTCGTAGCCGTCGTACGGAAATGTTCTACGTGCCCTTGTAGCGGAGCCTTGCGCATACGAGTGGCGTAGTGAAGCACGGAAATTGATCTCGACCCAGTTGCCTCGGACATTTCGACACACCGTGGCTATGCGACGTCACATCGGCTACATCATCATGGAGGCGGCATAGGCTACTGCGACGCATCAACGGCCTCCGTATACGATGACCAGTTCTATAAAGCGTCCTCGTCGTCTCGTTGAAGAAGGCACCAACACCCACAGCGCCAACAAACCTCGCATACACCCATCTCATACACCCAATTCAAACACGCAACATGCTCTCCAAAATCACCGCCCTCGCTCTTCTCGCCACCAGCGCATCCGCAGCAACCCTTCCCCGTACCGCAGACTGGACCTGGGACGTCACCGACTTCAGCAGCGTCTGCACCGCATCCGCATGCCGCTACTCCTTTAACGTCTCCGCACCCACCGGTCCCTCCGGTCAGCCAGCCTTCGACGCCGAATTCTGCTCTGGCACAAGTCTCCAGGGCGGCTACAAGTCCTGCGGTGTAGTTGGCATTGACTTACCGGGCGATGTGCAGACGCAGGAGTTCAACCGCGGGAGTGATGTCGGTGCGACTGTTAGTGTGCAGTACACGTTTGTGCAGTGAGTATACCCTTTGGGAGAAGGCTGGGGGTTTGAGGGGGTTGAAGGATGGTGGGAGCTGACATGTGGTAGGAGTGAAGTGCGGTACACGTATACGGGTAATGAGACTGTTAAGCATACTGGATTGGGCCCGACTGTGGGGTTCAGCATTGTGCCTACGGAGGTGACTGCTGTCGCTTAAGCCGGTTAGGGAGTCATGACGCCTGTAACGATAAGAGGGGCAGCATGGACGGAACGCCTTCATCTGTCTCATTCTACACTAACTATCGTCATTCTCATTCCAAACCTTCTACCTCTCCGAAAACATTGACAGTCAACGTTCCGCCTTGCATCATGTTGATGTACATGGTCCCACCCGGGTGTATGTGAATGTTAATCTGCGTTGAACGAACTCCGTAAGCGGCTCCCTCCTCGATGTTCACTTCTTCTGGCTGCTCGACGTGCTCTTCATGTTCATCCTCTCTATCGCTGTCGTCGTGGTTTTCTTCGGCATCTTCAAATCTCTCCGCATCCTCCAACCCCCCCGCATCATCAACACTCCCCTCGCCATCTCCTCCCGCCATCCATTCAGCGACCATGATCTGTCCCACACCCTCTCTTAGCTCAACAGCATCACCTCCATCATCTTCCTGGGCTGCCCCATACTTGTTCGCAAAATAACGGACCCCCAGATACAACAACGCGGTCACCACCGCTAGACTATTCGCTGCCCACCAATTCGGAAATAGGCCAAAAATTCCCAAGTCGAAAAACGCAATGATACAGTAGATTTTGATGATCCAGGACCTTTTTTCAGCAGCACGGCGGGCAGCGCGTGTGTTGTCGGGATTGTTTTGGTCGGGCATGATTTGGGTAGTGTGGGTTTGGAGTTGGTCTGGTGATGGGTTTGGGGTTTGTGGGTAGGATGGAGATGGAATGATGCGGGATGGCTGGTGAGGTGATGGTTTTGGGTTGTTGGAAATGGAGAGTGGCGTAGAAGGTAATATGTGGGGTGTACTAATGTTTGCTGTAGGGGAATGGTTCGCAATGTTGCTTTGTTGCTTGTGCGGAGAAAGATCTAGTCGTTCCGTTTCTTGATTGTGCTGCGTGATATTGCACGTGGAAGTAAACATTAGCTACTGGTGCCTCCCCCATGTGCTTCGTGGGACAATCTCAAACGCAATTTGTTCCTTTCCATCCCTATCAATGTCTACCAACTTTCTCCCCAGTTTCATGTCCCTCCCTCTGCCTCCACTTCTGTAATGACATGCTTGTCGATGCCTCGGTACTCCGCCGTAATGTACTGAAGCAGTGATGACACGAAGTTAGTGTATGTGTCAACTGCAGTTCGTACGGACCTAACTCACCCGTATGGTATAGAAAGAAGGCAACAACCCTTCACAAATGATATCCCAGCGGACTCCTTGACACCGGCCTCTCTTTGCCCTGAATTTCAGTCACAGTCAAGGTAACAGTGGTGTGGACCGTAGTCGCATACGGCGTCTCGGACGTCGTTACCGTTGTCGACATGTCCGTGTCTACCTTCACTGCTTTGATCCCAAATCCTAGGGCATGAATGAGTGCAAGGCATGCGACCCGACCAGGTACCTTCATCCTCCCATCCTCTTCGTGTAGCTTCTCGTGTAGTACCGTGCAGATGAGCAGGACCGATGCCAGGACCACTGCCATGATGAAGACTCTTGATATCATCCACCATGCGACTCCGAGTATTGTGTTTCGGACCCACGATTCGAAGTATATCGTATTCTTATTCCTTCTGTCGCTTGCGGCACTAGCCACGTAATTGAACGTGCAGTTCGAGATCTGAATGGGTACTTTGCCAGGGGAGGGCATGAACTTGAGGGCGGAGGTTGCAGATGCGGTTATCGATGTGAAGGAAAAGGTAGAGGCGAGGAGAGCGAACAGTACGAATATGGTGAGCAGGACGAGGAAAAGCTTCCTTACCGAAGGAAGTCTGAACGTCATGGTACGTAAGGGAATGTCAGGGCGGAAAGTGACGTTGGGATCTTCTTCCATCGTGGATGACAAGCTGCGGTGTGCTGAGAAGGGCGGATGTGGTGACCTTGAGTCAATGATGATGATGATGGAGGTGGGATGTAACGGTAGAATGATAATGTGGTGAAGCAACTAGATCCCACAAAGGACAAACGAGATCAAATATAGCGTGTGTATACAGTAAACAGAGACGCGAGTGCGTGAGGCGCGTGCTGTTGTTAAGGAAGAGGAAGATGTCTTACATTTACCTGGCAGCCGGTATCGCACGCGAGCGCCCAGCAACACGCCCACATGGCTCCAGATGGGTGGTTAGGTTCCAAAAGGGTTGTGCGGATTATGTGTGCCGAATGTCTGAGGTGATGTGCTTTGTGATAGCTCGAACGCATGCAGCTGTGCAAGGCTAACCTGCTACGTGCCTGCATACTCAGGCACGGAGGGCACTCTGGGCTTTTGTCGACGCAGCAGTAGTATTGATCCTTGCACATGGTAAATGCAAGTCTATACTAAGTTCTCCAGTTATTCCGAGAGATGTCGTATTTTCTCCACGTCAGATGCAAGCGCTCCTGCTAGCTAGTTCGGCCGAGGCAGCGACACGGCCGTGCGACATTGGCAAGGAAACCTTTCCGGGGGTCCGTAGCGGTTCACATATGGCAGGAGATGACATGACTTGATGTCTATGTGTACAGCTATGCGAAATGATGCTGAGCCAGGCCGGCTGAAGGCGATGTTGGGGGGACCGTGAGGACCGGAAGGTGGCTGCGCGAACACTGGCACTGCTGACTAATCATGTCCAACACACGCCGCTCGACGCGTCGCGTCTTCTGCATCTCACTTATCGCGTCCTGAGCGTCAGCACACGCGCTTTCGGCGACATCGCACTATGACTAGCCCGGTTTCAGTAGCAACTCAGGATCTATCACTCTTGGCTCATATGTCACACGTCTTGTTATCCGCCTCGTCTGTCGCGCACTTGGAGATGAATGAGATCTCCATGCGGCTTCCTCAATTACATTCATCACGGACTGGCGATCAAGGGAGATATGGTCAACAAGTTTTATATCTACCCAGTGTCTACCTAGATATTCATCAATCTGATGCCGCGTACAAGGGAAGAGATGGCACACACCAAAAGTAAACAATCTAAACGTCTACATAACATCGCCTCAGCATGTAGTCGAGTATTGTTTTGTGTACTAATGTAGCCTGCAACGCGCCTGCTCTATCTTCCCTTCTCGAGGCCTTCCAGCGAATATGGCACAACAACATCCAATCACCCAACTAAGTGCGCAGCTTAGTACTCGACATACCACGCGCGATGCAACCTCACATTATCCAACCGGCCCTGCACCGCTCCGCAAGTAACAGTCTTATCATCCTTTTGAGGATCGGCCGCGAAGTCCAGTTCTAGACCACCTCCGCACTTGAGAAACCCAGGACTGTTAGCGCTGGATTCGAAAGAACAGTCTTCCTTGCCATCGATCTTAAGAGGCCACTTCTTGCCCGCCGTCACGTAAGGTGGATCGTGGATATTGGCGTCGTTCTGATACATGTCCTTCTCAAATTTTTCTTCGTCAATGACAGCATCTTTGAAGCGGCCATCGTCGACACAAAGTTTGACTGGTACACCTAGCGGGCCCTGGTAGACATGCCACCATTTGTTAGCACCGTAGCTGGCCAACAAGATCTGGATCGAATGGGTGGCCTTTGGCTTTGATGGAGTCGGAGCTGGAGCAGGTTTAGGTGGGTAATCGATCTCAAGCTTCTCCTTCACTTTCGCCATGATCGCCTTGGCCATCTCACGGTAGCCGCTCTCGGTAGGGTGGAAAGGTCGAAGAGTCAAACCGGGGTAGTTCTGCTGATACGGGCCGATCATGTCGAGCCATTGCAGGTTGTCTGGATCATCTGCGACGGCTACATCGTTACCGGACTGGAGCGCGGCAGTCAAGTTGAACTCGATCTCGCGAGGGTCGTCGGTGAATCTACCAGTCTCGAGCCAGTGCTCGAACTCGGCTTGCGTCGGTTGGCGTCCCTCCTCTGCGTTACCATCGCCATCGTCTATACCTCCCACCATCTCGCCCTGCCAACTAAAGATACCGCTAGGAGACATGTTCCAAAGATACACATTGTCGCCAAAGTATTGGTCGTACAGCGTGTGACCAGGTTGGCAAAACCGGTGTCCTTCAAGATATTGGTCGGTATCAACAAAGGTGGCCCTGTCCGGATGGAAGCTGCCCTTGACCCCATCCTCGATTGCCTTGTTCAAATAGCGAATAAGCGCATTAATGCGCTTCCTCAAAGCAAGACTAAGCCTCGGACGATCACTAGACCGCAGACCGAAGCTCACATTACTACACCAATCGCCCTCGCCACCCTCGTCATAGAAGAACTGGAAGTAGCCAACTACAAAGAGCCGGAACTTGGGGTTCTTCTTCACCTTTGGGTCATCGAAGACTTGATTGACGATCCACCGCGCGTCTTGGAAAAGCTGGTCGCGTCCTGTACCGAGGATGTACTGCTTCGTCGCCTCGAGTTCCTTGAAACATTGGCCGTTCTGATCGGGGTATTCGGGACCGTAATCTGCTCCTTGTGGCGCGAAGATACATGCGTATGCGACACGAGCGAAGTTCGCGTTGTTGCCGCCAGCCTGTAAGACGATCATGTCGACGTTGTCAGGGACGTCATTCAACTGAATATGGCCCAGATGCGGCTCTGCGTCGATCTGTCGCCAGCGGGTGCCTGAACAGGACTGGAAGTGGAATTCTTGTTCGCGGCCTTCGGGGATCCAGGAGTTATCGTGGCTCATCTGCGGGGCGTACGCGTGGTTGATTCGGAGGCAGTGGTCCATGTTTCCGTCGTAGTCGGTGGTTCCGAAGAAGCCGTATGAGACGCCGCTCTACACTGGGTTCAGTGAATGTCTTCGACGAGGCGATAGCGTATTCAAGTACTTACCGCCCATGAGTCGCCGAGACCAGACCAAACGTACTTGGTGGAAGCTACGTTGACTTCCGC